GTGACTCTATACCAGTAAATTCATCTGAAGCTGCTTCAAAAAGTTCTGGAGTGAAATGTGACACTATATCAGTAAATTCATCTGAAGCTGCTTCAAAAAGTTCTGGAGTGAAATGTGACACTATACCAGTGAACTCATCTGAAGCTGCATCAAAACATTCTGGAGTGAAATGTGACACTATATCAGTAAATTCATCTGAAGCTGCTTCAAAAAGTTCTGGAGTGAAATGTGACACTATACAAGTAAATTCATCTGAAGCTGCTTCAAAAAGTTCTGGAGTGAAATGTGACACTATACCAGTAAACTTAACTGAAGCTGCATCAAAAAATTCTGGAGTGAAATGTGACACTATACAAGTAAATTCATCTGAAGCTGCTTCAAAAAGTTCTGGAGTGAAATGTGACACTGTACCAGTGAACTTATCTGAAGCTGCTTCAAAAAGTTCTGGAGTGAAATGTGACACTATACAAGTAAATTCATCTGAAGCTGCTTCAAAAAGTTCTGGAGTGAAATGTGACACTATACAAGTAAACTCATCTGAAGCTGCTTCAAAAAGTTCTGGAGTGAACTGTGACACTACACCGCTAAACTCATCTGAAGCTGCATCAACAACTGCTGTAGTGAACTGTGACAGCATGTCATTGAACTTATCTGAACAAGCATCAACAAATTTTGAAGTGAAATGTGACACTACACCAATAATCTCAACTGAAGCTGTATCAACAAATTCTGTAGTGAAATGTGACACTACACTATTAAACTTTTCTGAAGCTGAGCCAACAAATTTTGCAGTGACCTGTTTGTCACCATTCAACTCCTGTGATACTACACAAGCAAATTCTGTAATAAATTGTAAGAACACTAAAAGAAACACTTCTGAAGCTGAATCTGTAAATGATGTAGTGGATTGTAACAAAATGCCATCAAACTTTAATTATGCACGAACACGTCCATTAATAGTGAAATGTGTTGCTGCTTCAAACTCTTCCAAGATTCCAGAAAGAAAAGCAGGAGATTTGGAATGTAGTTCCACATCATTGATGAAATATTCAGAAGTCCAAGAAGTCTTGACATTGTCTTCTCTGAAAGTCCATAAACCTTCTTTGGTTGTTTTGTCTCTTGATTCAACAAGACAGCCAAGTAATTGCAAGGATCAACTATGTAAAACTGGATATGAACTTAAGGTAAGGACTGTTTATAAGGTAAACAAACAATAATTTTTTATCCTTGCAATTTATTAAACTGTTTACTTTATGGTTAAGAGTTAGGTCCTATCCCAGATGTAATAGTTATCCTCATGCTGCTCGTAGTCATATTTAAATCTAAAAAACACTTTAAATATACTTTAGTCATCAACAAGATTTGTCACCATAGAGTAAATGCTGGTGTGTTGTACTATAAGTAGCTCAAAGGTTTTGATGTTGAGAAACAAATAGTAAAATATCTCTATTTGTATTTTATTGATGTAAATTATACATGAAAAAAATATGCATTTGTTTTTCAGCAAATAGTAAAAATTGTGTGTTCACATCGTTGCCTGTAATTATGGTAATAAAGACAGAAAAAAAAGGTGTGCTTAAGGCTGAATGAAAAGAAGGGTGTTTTGATGTACATCTTCACTCTACTGTACAAATATAATTTCTTATAATACAACCCAAATTACATACAAAAAGTCATATTTCTTAGTGAAGTATTTCTGATAAAATAAAATAAAGATTTGTCCATGAATACATTGAGTATTTGTTTTGAATAGTCTGTGTGCAAAGTAATTTTCGCGTTAAAATTTTAAATACTTTGCGGTATCTCAAAAATCTCAAATTTCCTTTGTGTAATCCCTACAACCTCCTAAATGCATTTCAAAGTTGTTGTTTTTTTACTAAATCCTTAGTGTTTATATGTTATTTTCTCTACCCTATCTCAAAATGGTATTGGTCAATTCAACCTTGTAACCACCCCCAAAATATTGAAATAAACATAAATAAACCTTCTTTTCTTTCTAGAATGACTTCAGATTGTAACATGAAACTACATTCGTTTATCCTAAGTAGCT